ACATTAAAGGGGTTGCAGGAATATCTGGCAAGTACTGGCTGTGTGGTACATATGACAACAATCTCCCATATTCTTCATATATCTGGGATATGGCGTAGAGTGTCAAGACGGAAGCCTTTTCTTATGAAGAAAAACATCCAAGCCCGGCTAAATTTTGCAAAAACACATCTGAAGTCTCCCAAAAGCATGTGGCAAAATGTGTTATGGTCTGATGAACCAAGGTTGAACTTTTTGGCCATAATTCCAAAAGATGTGTTTGGCGCAAAAAAACAACACTGCACATCACCAAAAGAACACCAATCTCACAGTAAAGCATGGTGGTGGCAGCATCATGCTTTGGGGCTGTTTTATTTCAGCTGGAGCTGGGGCCTTAGTCAAGGTAGAGGGAATTATGAACAGTCCCAAATACCAGTCAATATTGGCCCAAAACCTTCAGACTTCTGCTAGAAAGCTGACCATGAAGAGGAACTTCATTGTCCGGAAAGTACTCACCGCTGGTGGTGCTGGGGCTCACCTGCTGTGTGGGCTGCAGTATCAGTTCCCACCAGTGGGTGCTTTTCAGCAGCCAGGATCTCACTCCTGCAATCAAGCCATCACCTGAGGCTGATTGCAGGAGGTGTATTTAAGCAGTGCCTTGGTGTTTTCCCATGAGCCCCTGTATCTGCATCCTGTCTACCTGCCTGATCCCCCTGCTTGACTCTGATAGAAATCCGCCTGCACCGACCCTGGCTATTCCTGACCATTCTCCTGCCTGCTCCTTTTGTACCTTATCTGCCTAATTGATCCTGACCCGGCCTGCCTGACCATTCTACTTCTCCAGCTCTGTCTACGCCTGTGTTCCTGAGCATCTACTTATTAGTTGAAGGTTTGGTTTTGGTTGCACGGTGCGTTTCTGTATATTGGTGTAAACGCTTAATAAATTATATTATTACATCATTCCTGCAGTCTGCTATTCCCTGTGTCTGTCCACACGTCTCTGGTCATATCCAGATCCTTGACATTCATCTTTCGGCATGACAACGACTCAAAGTATACATCCAAATCAACAAAGGAATGGCTTCACCAGAATGGCCGAGCCAGAGTCCAGAACTGAATCTGATCGAAAATCTGTGGGGTGATCTGAAGAGGGCTGTTCATAGGAGATGCCCTCGCAATCTGACAGATTTGGAGTGTTTTTGCAAGGAAGAGTTTGCAAATATTGCCAAATCAAGATGTACCATGCTGATAGACTCATACCCAAAAAGACTGAGTGCTGTAATAAAATCAAAAGGTGCTTCAACAAAGTATTCATTTAAGGGTGTGCACACTTATGCAACCATATTATTTTAGTTTTACTTCCCTCCACCTAAAAGATTTCCATTTGTTGTTCAACTGAGTTGTACAGTTTATAGCGAACATTAAAGCTGGAAAATGTTCTGAAATGATTTATCTTTGTCTTATTTTTTTACTTCACAGAAACCTGACATTTTAACAGGGATGTGTAGACTTTTTATATCCACTGTAAATGCCAGGAAAGTTGATTTTATGTTTTGCAGATATCAATATGCTGTAGCACTGCTGTTTAAATAACCATGCTTTGATATGCTGTAGTGTGTTGAGGTATACTGTACATTGCAATTATCAAGGTTAGCAGTTGTTAACAGTGTTAATATGAGCAAAGAACCTCAAGCTCTATAACTTATAACTGAATCTATCAATATACTTGTTAGTTGATGCTTAGGTATACTGTACATCAAAATTATCAATTTTAGCAGTTAATGTTAATCTTAATAATGTTAAAGTGAGCAAAGAACCTCAAGCCCTATACAACTGAATCTAGCAATGTACTTGTTAGTTGTTATCATAACTAATCATCTATAACTTGCCATAGACAAAAATCTGTATTATAAGTACCTGTTTCCATGAACATGAGAGGCACAGAAGGCAAAGCTATAATGAAGCAGTGTTGGGTCAATGACAGACCCAGTTTCAGCATGTTCAATTAGCTCCCTCAGATAGCACAGATGTCGATGGCAACCCCGAACACCATATCGAGCACAGTACTCATCTAAAACAAAGACTTGGCCAGGACTAAACCAGCCCTAAACATAAAAGAGAAAAATAACTGTAAACAGAAATGTGGTGAAAAGTCAACTGGTATATTTTTTTAAAGTAGAACTATAGACAAAACTTTTTTTTTCCATTTTGGATAGAGTAATGGAGGGTTAAAACCTGTGGTTTTTTTTTTTATACCATCTGTGCCCCATTAGGGAGATTTACCTTTACTGCACTTCATGTCCCAGAGCCAAAACAGCAGTGAGAGGAAATCCCTACAAATTAAGGGAACTGGACAAATTTCCCCTCTATTACTGTTCTGGGGAAAACTCATTTACGAATGGTCCAGTTGCTGCTGTGCTCCCCACGGCACTATGATGCCTGCCACCAATGTTCACAGTTCTTCAACTGACACCCTTGAGTAATTGCTAAAGAATTGTAATCATTGGTGGCAGACATGAAGGAGCAACAATATAAAAGGCTAAGAAAAGGCTAGAACAACACTGTTATAGAACATAAAATATGATACTGGGGGCACAGCAGAGAAATACACAGCAGCATGTTTCCCTAGTAAAACACACACAGCACTTAGTTAACACTTTGATCGCCCCAGATGTTAACCCCCTTCCTGTCCAGTGTCATTAGTACAGTGTGAATGACTTTATGACAAAATTTGATTTTTAAAATGTTTTACTGAATATGTGTTCTAGCAAAAAAGTGAAAAAAAAATAAAAATGCAGAGGTTATGAAATGCCACCTTATGAAAGCTCTATTTGTGGGGAAAAAAGGACATACATTTCATTTATGTACAGCGTTGCATGACCATGCAATTGTCAGTTAAAATAACGGAGCGCCGTATCGCAAAAAATGGCTTGGTCAGGAAGAGGGGGTAAAGCCTCTGGAGGGAAAGTGGTTAATCTACACTCAGTACCCCCGTAATGACAAAGTGAAAACAGTGTTTTAGAAATGTTTGTAAATGTATTAAAAAGGAACAACTGAAATATTACATTTGCATAAGTATTCAGACCCTTTGCAACAACACTTGAAATTTAGCTCAGGTGCCTCCCATTTCTCTTGATCATTGCTGAGATGTTTCTACACCGTGACTGAACTCCACATGTGGTAGATTAAACTGATTGAAAATGATTTGGAAAGGAACACACCTCTTTATAAAAGGTTTCACAGCTGACAATGCACACTGTATCAGAGCAAAAGCTATGAGATCAAAGGAACTGCCTGCAGAGCTCAGAGACAGGATTATTGCAAGGCACAGATCTGGGGAAGGGTACAAAGAAATTTTTGCTCCACTGAAGGTACCTAAGAGCACAGTGGCCTACATAATTCTCAAATGTAAGATGTTTGGCACAATCAGGACTTTTATACTGCTGGTCACTCGGCCAAACTGAGCAATCGGGTGAAAAGGGCATTAGTAAGAGAGATGGCCAGGAACCTGATGGTCACTCTGAATGAGCTTGAGACCCTGTGTGGAGATGGGACAAAGTTCCAGAAGGACAACCATCACTGCAGCCCTCCACTGATCTGGGCTTTATAGTAAAGTGGCTAAGCAGAAGCCTTTCTTCAGTGCAAAACACATGAAAGCCCACTTGGAGTTTGCAAAAAAAGCACCCGAAGGACTCTGACTGTGAGGAGCAAGATTCTCTGGTCTGATGAAACCAAGATTGAACTGTTTGGCCTCAATTCTAAATGTTATGTTTGGAGGAAACTAGGCTCATCACCTGCCCAATACCACTTCAACAGTGAAGCATGGTGGTGGCAGCATCATGCTGTGGGTTTTTTTCAAGCAGAATGGACTGGGAGATTGGTCAGAGTTGAGGGAAAGCTGAATGGCGCAAAGTACTGAGATACGTTCAATGAAAACCTGTTCCATAGCATTCAGGCACTCAGACTTGGCTGAATGTTCACCTTCCAACATGACAACAATCCTAAGCACACAGTCTGAAGTGAATGTTCTGAAGTGGCCCGGCCAGATCCTTGATCTGAACCTTATTGAACATCTCTGGAGAGACCTGAAAATTGCTGTCCACCAACACTCCCCATCCATCCTGACTGAGCTTAAGAAGATTTTCAAAAAAGAATAGCAGTCCAGGTGTGTAAAGCTTGTTGAGTCATACCCAAAAAGTCTCGAGGCACCAAAAGGTACTTTGTCAAAATAAAGGGTCTGAATACTTAGGTACATCTAATTTCCGTATTTATTTTAATAAATTCACATTCTAAAAATTTGTTTTCACTTTGTCATTATGGGGTACTGAGTGTAAATTAATGAGAAAAAATTACAACAACTGTAGTATTTGGCTGCAACATAACAAAATTGAAAAAGTGAAGAGGATCTTAATACTTTATGAATGCACTGTATGCTTAGGAGTAATAGATAACTGGGCAAAATTGTGAAAGAAAATGATAAAAAGAAGCATTATTCAAATATGACATGTTCCAATATCCCGGTAGAACAAATATTCCTCAATTCATTTGTATAAAATTATCTCAGTATAAAATTCAGTCTCTTTGTATGAACCATCTGAAATGTGTATAATTTCAAAGATACCCATTAAATTACTTTTCTGTGACTTAACACAACTCACAGTTACATCATTCCAAGATATCAGATCCTTGCAGGAACATGCTGGTGTTGCAAACCCCATAGTGGAATCTCCCACCTTTAGTAAGCTTTCAGTTGTCATTCTCTCTTTGAAAAGCTTTTAAGTCACATTTCAAAGATGGTCAGAGCCTGTTCTCATGCTATTGAGTGGCACAGCAGCAATCTTCACGTGTATAATTTTCAAATTTGAGGGCAATCGATTGAAATCCTTTATCCCAAATCCAAGCACACTTACAAAATGAGTTTGGAAAGATCTGCCACTTTGTAACAACTATTTCACACTTCATTGCACTAAGCCTACATACATACTAGTACTCACCAGACAAGAATAAGAATCATTTAGTCGGTGTTCCAATGTTTGCTGCTGCAGTACTTTGAAAAGGGAGGCATGGTCATATCTGCAGGGATTAGCAGAAATAAACTCATCCATTCCATGTCTCTGGCCACGATCTGTGCCTGCACAAAGAAAAGGCAATGTACATAACAAGCTACTCTTAGCAACACATAGCATTGATATATTATATTACATTTACAGTTTTTTTTCTATCTACACTCCATTTCAAAAAGTGATCAACACACAGACTTGAGCTTAAATCAGTGACGGCTTGATGATATGACCTTGGTGAATTTCAAAGCACTTAGCAAACATCCAGTCTAAATAGAAAATGGTCAGAGAAAAAGCTCTACTACATTGCACATTTCCACCCTTCCATTGTTCTTCCTGGGAATGTATCTACAGCAGCACAAACAACGACATAGAAATACACATTCATCAGAACTAGCAATCTATTTTTCAAATGGCAAACTAGAGCAGAAATGAACATGTCAGTAAAAGGTAGGTCACTTCCAGTCTTTGTTTTGTATTATGCTTTTAATGAGACAAACCTTGGTAGAGTAATGGGAAGTGTTGCATATAGCAACAAGAAAAAGTATTTATAACCTTCAAGCAAAAACGGCAAAGAAAACACAGAGCAGTACATGGCTGACAATACCGATCTCCTTCATACTACAATGTCCTAAATGGCAGTCGAAGGACAAGCATATTGTTCTTCACAGATGCATCTTTCAACGCCTTCAGACCCCGCGGGTCTATCAGAAGGCGAGCTCTTATGATTGCTTTCGTTAATGCTATGTTTTGTTAAAAACATCCATGTGAATCATCTATCATATACAGACATCAAAAGCCAAGAGGATTTAGCTATCCAACAGAACACTAGCTCAGTTTGATACCAAGGTTCATTTTGGGTGAGCAATCTACTCAAAATGGCCCCATACAAAGGGGCCTTTGGCTCTTTGTTCTTTAAAATTTAAATGTCTATCTTTTTATGTTAGTTACTATAAATGTACCATCCTAAATGTACTTTAAACATACGACAGGCTACTAACTTGAGGGTTCTAAAGAGAGCAAGACAAAGACTTATTGATCAAAGCCAATTACAGAATCTGGTCCCTCATAAAACTCCATATTGATCTGTGGCCATGATGCTAACATAATCAGTCACATTGAGGAATTTAGCCCAAGATTATATTGATCTGTGTCAAGTTCAACAGCCAACTAGATTTGCAGATGGAAGAATTATTTCATTCAAGCTGAAAGAAGTGCAGCTTCAGATACTACAATATCAGAACAGTCAGCTTTGCACTTTCAAAGCAAAAGTCAAATTCATCTGACAGATTCTGCAAGGTAAATGCAAGATAGAAGCACAATAGAAACTGTGGAGATCTGAACAATACTATACAAAAGACATATCGGGTGTATCATAAAGTCAAAACAGTATAACCCTTGCAAAATTCGTTATGGCTAACCTGCAAATATAGTGGGTTTCTAGAAAAAGGTATGCAAGTATAATATAAAGTATATTTACATTTTCACATGGCCTAAGATTGAACACAGTTGAACATGGCGAAGCAAAAACTTTATTTTGCACTATATACAGAAATAGCATTAGCACACATTTGTTTTACCAAAGCACTACTAGAGAACTGAAAGCATACAAATAGGTTTAATAAGTGCTTTTAAGTATATAAATACAATAAGAATTAAATGTATCAATTTTAAAGCATTCTGTAACTGAAAGCTGAACTCAAAGCAGTTATAAAAGACAAAAATTAATGCTGCTCTGTAATATTCCTCAAAGTGTTGGAATTTTTCTATTTGCTAATGGCCTTGACATTTGAGTGTAAAGTGTCCAATAAAAGTTGGTACAGATATGAGTATGCACCTCAAGATGCCTGCACCTCATACCTGCTAGCGGTTTTCTTTCTTTTTTTTTTTTTTTTTTAAGTGTCAGTCACTTAAATTCAGACATTGAATGAAACCAGAAGGTCTTCATATCTTGATGGCTCTAATCCCTGATCTAAAAACACTAACTGAGCATATTTATATTCAACCATGAAATGTCACATTCTGCAAACATTCACTGCAGGTGAACCAATCCTGGTAACTTTAAACACATGGACCAGGAATACAGTTGTGTTCAAAAATAATAGCAGTCAGACATCACTAACCTGATCAATCACTGTTTTTGGTAGAAATGATATTTCTACATGGCAAATAATTTACTAGCAGGTGTAGTAGAGTAATAGAAATCCAACAGACCCAACAGTCATGACATGCATGCTGCTGATTCTGTGTAATTGAATCACTAATTGAAAGAGGCATGTTCAAAATAATAGCAGTGTGGAGTTCTATTAGTGAGGTCATTCATTCTTTGAAAAACAGGTGGCAATGATTGCCCTTATTTAAGGAAGGAAGGCAGCAAATGTTGTACATGCTGGTTACAGTGCATTTCTCTCTGAAATTCTGAGGAAAATGGGTCGTTCCAGACATTGTTCAGAAGAACAGCGTAGCTTGATTAAAAATTTGATTGGAGAGGGGAAAACATAGAAAGAAGTGCAGAAAATGATAGGCTGCTCAGCTAAAATGATGGCAAATGCTTTAAAATGGCAACCAAAACCTGAAAGATGTGGAAGAAAGCAAAAAACTACCATTCGAATGGATAGCCAAAATGGCAAGGACTCAGCCAACAATCAGCTCCAGGAAGATCAAAGAAGGTCTAAAGTTACCTGTGAGTACTGTTACAATTCGAAGACGCCTATGTGAAGCCAAGCTATCTGCAAGAAGCCCCCGCAAAGTCCCACTGTTGAAAAAAAGACGTGCTAAAGAGGTTGCAATTTGCCAAAGAGCACATTGACTGGCCTAAAGCGAAATGGCGCAACATTTTGTGGACTGATGAAGGTAAGATTGTTCTTTTTGGGTCTAGTGGCCAGAGGCAGTTTGTCACACGACCCCCAAACACTGAATTAAAGCCACAGTACACTGTGAAGACAGGGAAGCATGGTTGCGCAAGCATCATGATACGGGGATGTTTCTCATACTACGGTGTTGGGCCTATTTATCGCATACCAGGGATCATGGATCAGTTTGAATACATCAGAATACTTGAAGAGGTCATGCTGCCTAATGCTGAAGAGGAAATGCCCTTGAAATGGTGTTCCAACAAGACAACGACCCCAAACACACCAGTAAACATGCAACATCTTGGTTCCAGACCAACAAGATTGACGTTATGGAGTGGCCAGCCCAATCCCCGGATCTTAATCCAATAGAAAACTTGTGGGGGGTGACATCAAAAATGCAGTTTCTGAGGCAAAACCAAGAAATAGAGAAGAACTGTGGAATGTAGACCAATCATCCTGGGCTGGAATACCTGTTCACAGGTGCCAGATGTTGGTTGACTCCATGCAACACAGATGTACAGCAGTTCTCAGAAACAGTGCTTATACAACTAAATATCAATTAAGTGATTCAAAGGAAAGCAAAATCTTCAAACAGTCTAATATTCACTTTTCTTCAATTTTTTTTAGAGGAACAACACAAATTTGATATATTTTTCTTCATGTTTTTATTTGGAATAGAATATGTAGTGTTCCCAATGCATTTGTGTGTATGGAAATAAAAGCTATTAGAAGGATTTTGAGCTTTATTCACTTTTTTTCAACACACTGCTATTATTTTGAACACAACTGTATATACCTGCCGTGTATGTTTAGTGACTGTTACATTCACAGTTTAATAAATAAACCCTAAGTGAAAGCCATGAAAAAAAGAGTGAGGAATGTTGATGCCTACCTTAAATCTTGACAGAGTGTGTATGGTAACATTTTTTTATTGCTTTCCCTGAGCATATTTTATTTGGGGGAATAGTGGTAGATAAGCAGACCTTTTTTAATGCAAAAGCCACTTTAAGAAAAAAATCATTTAATTTTGCAGGATAATAAACAAAATAGGGAATCAGTGAACTACAGCACAAGCATGTAAACTGATGCTGGTTATTTTAAGATGAGATTTAAACTAGAATTATTCACAAGCAGTAATTTAGGTTTATATCAGAAATGTCTTGATAGAATGTATTGTCCACCTGCTACTGAAACCAAGCAAGTTGCCAATTAAATAAATGTGAAGGACATCAAGGGGTACATTTATATCTTAAGCAATAGAAACAAAGCACAAGCAGCAACCATAGAAGTGTAGTAATTTTATTAAAACATACAGTTAAAAGCATATGTGCACTCACATGTGGCTCAAATGAGCAGGCATATCACCCCTCATAGGAGGAGTCATTACTGTCCGGTTCAAGATGGATACCTGCATGCAGAGTTTGGCAAGGAAACGGCCAGGCACAGCAGAGAATGCCAGGAAGCAACTGCGAGTGTAAAGTGTCAGGAAAAACCAGCATTGTGTGCACGGCAAAGCAGGAAGAGTGGGCAGCAGGTCCAGGATGGATGGATGACATCACAAGTCAACGTGGGCATGGTGTGTGGGCTTTTGCACACTCTGGCTAACTCACACTGACAAACTCTGCATGCAATTATCTATCTTGAGCCAGGTATCTATGACCCCTTCAGTGAGAGATGATTTGCCTACTTATTTGAACCACTTGTTTGTGCACACATGCTTTATACTTTATTTTAATAAAATTGCTACACTTAGATGGTCACGCCCTCTTGAGTTATATTGCTAAAGTTTGGAGGATTTACCCACTCTGTGCTTTAGAGGAGCTGCAAACATCCAGGAGTGACTGTTGTTTACACTGGACTTTTTAATGGGCTAGTCTCCACAACATATACTCCGTTTTGTGTTTTAAGGTTTACTGTACATATACATATTTCCTTTTTGACACTTTAAAATGGCAAAATGTCCATCTGGAAGAGACCATCAGTACCATTGTCTCAACATTAAAAATACTTACTTGGCAAAGGAGCTTCCATGTGAGCATTTATACCTTTTGGATTTGATTTCTGAGCATGGTTGGAAACAATGGGTTTATAAGACTGTCCTGTTGCTCTGTACATTGCTTGCACCCACAGTATTCGGTCTTGCTCATCATCGCAGGCAAATACCACAGTGTCCCCTTCTTTAACTGCATTGAAGAACCAACGACCACCCTGAAGACCTGATAATGTAGTGCAAAATAACAAACTGCCATTTAGTTGTAAGTAACCATGTGGATAGTTATGGTAATGCACATATACTACTACTAATAGACGAAGATGGCTGAAGCAAGTGACCCAATACCTGACTGAGGATCAGTGTAATCCACGGTGTATCCTTCAAGTTGCATCAGTTCCTGTGGCTCAGCTTTCTTCTCCCTGTAGCTACACATAGCAAATGTGTATTGGCTTACCTAAAAACAGACATAAAAATGTCAATTTGCTAAAAAATTATGACTAATTGATGTAAATCAAAAAGCTTTCCTTCACTATATACCATCTTTGGTACTCCAACCACTTTGAGACAAAAAATATTTTTTAAAAAAATGGACTCCATTAAAAATTACATTAAGGTGAAAGTTCACGCAGACAGTAAAATACAAAACTGAAATAACAACAGTGCATGCTATTTTATCTGAACAAAGATTTGGAATTCTGTTCATCAATTCTTGATTCACATACCTCTGCCATTCTTCATAATCAGGAAGTTCACTATTGTTTCCTGATTTGCTTTATTGTCCACTGGACATAGTTTGATGTTTCTGATTCTCTGTCTCTTGAACTGGCTCGAAGTGGACAGATGTTATAGGAAGCTATGTGGCTAAACCAGGAAATACATGTGTCACATTATATGATTGGCTGACCAGAACTAAAAATGTGTAGGTAATGTCATATATAATTCAAATCAGTATTTATTGGTTTGCCTAAAATTACATTCAACTCATATACAGCTTGATTTTGGCTAAATCAGCTCTACCCACCTTGCCAATAATTAATTTCTCCGTGTGTGTTAAGTTTATGTAAAGCTAAAACAGGTTTCTTTTGGTCTCAGGTAGAGTGCGGCTGTATTGAAACCTATATCAGAGGCTTTATTGCTGTCTCTGTTCTGGCTGGGGAGATTTACCCCTGTTTAAGAGTAGATTTACCTTTACTTTTTGTAGTGTCTATGGCACAGGAACTGAAAGGAAGTACAGCAAGTAAAATAAGTATTGAACACGTCACCATTTTTCTAGGTACATATATTTCTAAAGGTGCTATTGACATGAAATGTTGCCACATGTTGGTAACAACTCATGCAATCCACACATACAAAGAAACAAAAACAAATAAGTTCAGAAATTAAGTTATGTGTAATAAAATTAAATGACACTGGGAAAAAGTATTGAACACACGAAGAAAGGGAGGTGCAAAAAGGTATGAAAAAGCCAAGACACCAGATGAAATCTATCAGTAATTAGAAAGCAATCCTGCCCCTTGTCAATGCAAATTAATATTAGCTGGTTCAGTCTCAACTGATGGCCTATAAAAAGGTGTCTAATTACCAAGCTGTCACATATCTCATGATGGGTAGAAGCAAAGCACTCTCTCAAGACCTTCGCAACCTTACTGTTGCAAACATACTGATGGCATTGGTTACAGAATGATTTATAAACTTCTGAATGTTCCAGTGAGCAGTGTTGGGCAATTATCAAAAGTGTGGAAAAACATCATTTCTCCATAAACCGTCCCCGACCAGTGCTTCTTGCAAGATTTCTGACAGAGGAGTGAAAAGAATTATCAGAAGAGTTGCCCAAGAGCCAAGGACCACTTGTGCATAGCTTCAGAAAGACCTAGAATTAACAGGTACAATTGTTTCAAAGAAAAGATTAAGTAATGCACTCAACCACCATGGCCTGTATGCAAGCTCACCACGCAAGACACCATTGCTGAAAAAAAAGCATGTTGAAGCTCGTTTAAAATTTGCTGCATTGAAGGAAGGAATGAATGGAAAGATTGTACCAAACACATTCCCCCCCTGATAAAAATCTGCTGCCGTCTACCAGGATGATGAAGATGAAACGATGGTTGGACATTTCAGCAAGACAATGGTCCAGAAACACAAAGCCAATAGAAAACTCTCAATTGGTTTCAAAGAAAGAAAATAAAGCGGTGCTAGAATGGTATCAGCCAATCACTAGACTTGAATCCAATAGAAAATCTATGGAAAGGAACTAAAGATCAGAGATCATAGAAGAGGCCCCATAGAGCCTTCATAAGATTAGAAGATTGTTTGTGTACAAGAATGGGCCAAAAATCACACCTGAGCAATGCATGCTACTTAGCTTCTCATACAGGAGAAGCTGTCCATACTTGAAGCTGTCATTACCATTAGGAGATGAGCGAATCGAACCAGCAGCGAACAGAAAAAACCGGAATTCGAGTCGAATTTCAGGAAATATTGCCTAGAACTCCCCCGGGTGCGCGAATCGAAACATTTCCCCGATCAGCGGCAAAAGTGTCCCTGCAGTGAGCTCCGCTATTTCTGGACAGTTCTCTGACAGAAGGAACACATGTTTAGCGGTTGAAACAAATTGTATCTATTAGTTTACATTTAGGACTACAGATGTTTCAACCACTGTACATGTGGAAGAACGCTGTGAGAGAAATGTCAGAAATAGAGGGGGAACTCTGCACATACACTTTTTGCCGGCTTGAATTATTCTTCTTTTCATCCTACTTCTTCTTCTTCTTACTTCATCTCTTCATCCTCAGAAGTATGGAGTTCCATGACATTCCCTCCATTTACAGCGGTTGAAATAGCTGTGTATGGAGAAGAATGTCCAGAACTGTCAGAAATAGACTATCTTCTGACAGTTCTGGGACAATCACTCCATACAGCGTGTTTCAACCGGCTTGTATTATGGTGGGAAAGTCATGGAACGGTCATTAAATAGGACTATTAATGACAGTTCTGGGACTGTCCACTTGATCGCATACAGCGGTTGGAACTACATTGTATCCTATTTCTCTATTTCCCCTCATCCTCATAAGAAGAAAAAGAATGGATATTCAAGCGGCAAAAAGTGATATCTGCAGGTCCATAAGTGTATCTAAGGGAATGTCTTTTAATGGGAAAATAAATACAACGCTCAATGTTTCAACCGCTTGTATGGGAGTGTGACAGTCCCAGAACTGTCAGAAATAGTCCCTATTTTGTCGGACAGTTCTGGGACATTCACTCCATACAGCTGTTTTCAACCGCTGTATGGAGGGAATGTCAAAGAGACTGTCAGAAAATGAGACTATTTAATGACAGTTCTGGGACTTGACAGTTCCCCATTCCCATAGACAGCGTTGTTGAAACAGCTGGTATGTCGATGTGTGTGTCCAGAATGTCCATAATGGTATTTATGGACAGTTGGTGGGATAATCAAATGACTCATACAAGCTGTTTCAACCGCTGCATGGGATGGACAGGCCCAGAACTGGTCATTAATAGGACTATGTCCCTGACAGTTCCAGGACATGTCCCTCCATACTGCGGGGGTATAGCGAAACAGCTGTATGCCTGGAACGGTGATAAGTGTCTGATTACGGGAACTGTCGGGATCCGGGCAAGAATGCCGAATCAGGCGCATCCAAACTGCGCAGCGGCGGCACGAACCGGCGCCGGAGGCGCTGCGGCGCCGGCGGCGCTGCCGGCGCCGGAGCCGGAGGCATCTGTCTACTAGTCGCATTTCGGGGCATCTTCTGGGACATTCGCTCTCCTTACGCCTTCTTCTCATACCTCTGCCTATCGCCGGCGCCGGCATGGAACTCCTTCACGGCGAAATAGGGAGGCTTCTGACAGTTATGCCGGAGCTGTCTCTTCCATGCCGGTTGAAACATTGGCGGTATCTGTCTCATAAATGCGATCTCCATTATCTGCCGGCGCCGGCGCGCGGCAATGCGCTTCAACGGCTGCCGGAAAGGACAGTCGCCAGAACTCTCATAAATCTAGTCTCATCGCTTCTGGAAGTCCTGCGGCGACATTCCGTCTATCCTGTTTCTATACGCATCCTTCGCGCCGGCGCCTTGCATAGAATGTCATGACCTCTCTTCCGGATCTAATGACTCATCCTCTCGCTTCTTCTCATCCTTCTCCCTTCATCCTCATCCTTCATTTGTCACCCATAAATGGATCCTTCTTGATCATCCTTCTCCTTACAATCATCAACCGTATCCTGGAATCTTCTCCTCAGAGAACCTTCTCCTTAGTCTATTTCTTCATCCCTGACATTACTCTCCTTCTCCTTCTCAACCTTCTCCTTCTTCTGAATGTCCTTCTCCTTCGAAATCTGACAGAAATCCTTATCCTTCTTCTCTCCTTCTCCTTCTTCTCATCCTTCTTCTCATCCTTCTTCCTTCTCCTTCTTCTATCACTTCTCCTTCTTACTCATCTTCATCCTTCTTCTTCATCCTTTTCCTACTTCTCCTATCTACTCATCTTCTCTTCATCTTCTCATTTCCTTTCTTCTCTACTCCTTTCCTTCTCTTTTTATCTTCTCCTTTTCTCCTTTCTTCTCATCCTTTCATCCTTTTTCATCTTTCTTCTCATCCTTCCTTCAGCTTTCTTAATCATCCTTCTCATCTTCTCTATTCTTCTCATCCATTCACCTTCTCATCCTTAGCTTTCCTTCGTTCTCATCCTTCTCCTTCTTACTCATCCATTCCTTCTCCATTTTATCCTTTCCTTGTCCTTCTCATCCTTTCTCCTAATTTCCCTTCTCTCCATTTTTTCTCCATACTTCTCAATCCTTTCTTCTTCTCATCCTTCTCCTTCGTTCTCATCCTTCTTCTCATCCTTCTCCTTCTTCTCATCTTCTCCTTCTCTTTCTTTCTCATCCTTCTTTTCTTCTCATACTCCATCCTTCTTCACTTCTTTTCTCATCCTTACTGCCGTTCTCCTTTCTTCTCACTGCCAACTCCTTCGCCGTATCTTCTCATCCTTCTCCTTCCTCCTTCTTCTCAATCCTTCTATCTCTATCTTCTCATCCTACTTCTTTTTCATCTTTCTCCTTCCTCCTTCTTCTCATATACCTTCTCACTTTCTTCATCCTTCTCTCGTCTTCGCATCTCTTTCCTTCTCCTTTCTTCTTCATCCTTCTCCTTCTTTCATCCTTCTAACCTTTTCACATCCTTCTCTCCTCATCCTTTTCTCCTTCTTCTCAAATCCTTCTCCTTCTTTCCTATTCATCTCATCTTCTCCTTGCTTTCTTCTGTCATCCTTCTTCTCTTCTCATCTCCTTCTCCTTCTTCCTCATCCTTCTCCTTCTTTCCTCATCCTTCTCCTTCATCCTTCTCTTTACTCATCCTTCTCATCTCTCTTCTTCTCATCCTCTCCTTCTCATCCTTCTCCTTCATCCTTCTTCTCATCCTTCTCCTTCTCATCTCATCCTTTCTCCTTCTTCTCATCCTTCATATCATCTCATCGCATTAACTTCTTCTTCTCATCTTCTTCATCTTTCCTTCTTTTTCATCTTCTCCTTCATCCTCTTTCTCATCTTCCTTTCTCCTTCTTCTCCTCATCCTTCTCCTCCTTTTCCTCTTCCTTCTCCTTCTCCTTCTGCTTCTCATTTTCTCATCCTTCTTCCTTCTCATCCTTCTTCTTCTCATCCTTCTCCTTCTTTCATCCTTCACATCTTCTCCCCTTCTTCTCATCCTTCTCCTTCTCATCCTTCTCTCCTTCTTCATCCTTCTCGCTTCTTCTTTATCTTCCCTTCTTTCTCATCCTTCTCCTTCTTCTCATCCTTCTCCTTCATCCTTCTCCTTCATCTTCTCCTTCTCCTTCTCCTTCTCTTCTCATCTTCTCATCTTTCCTTCTCCTTCTTCTATCGATCCTTAGCTTCTCCTCTCGTCATTCCTTCTTCCTTCTCATCCTATCTTTCTCATCTTCTCCTTCTTCTCATCCTCATCCTTCTCCTTCTTCCTCGATCCTTCTTCCATCCTTCTCCTTCTTTCATCTTTCCTTCTCATCTTCTCCTTCTTCTCATCCTTCTTTCTTCTATCCTTCTTTTTCTTTCTCATCCTTGATCCTCGCCTTTCTCATCTCTTACTCCTTCTCTTCTCATCCTTTCGTTCTCATACCATCTTCTCCTTATCATCCTTCTCCTTCTTCTCATTCCTTCTTTCCTTCTCCTTCTTCTCATCCTTCTCCTTCTTCTTCTCATCATCTCCTTCTCCTTACTCTTCTCATCCTTCTCCTTCTCCTTCATCTCATCCTTCTCCTCTCTCTTCTTCTCATCCCGTTCTCCATCCTTCTTCTCACCTTCTCCTTCTCCTTCTCTTTCCTCATCTCCCAATTGGCATTTAATATTAAATGGTTTAACAGTTGTTTCTGCACTAATTCTTAATCTCCAGGGCATCTCGTGAAGCCTAGAGAAACCTTTTTAGTAAGACAATTCGTAGCGAAGACTCTGATGTTCAATACGTTTTCCCTGTGTCATTCCATTTTATTACACATAACTTAATTTCTGAACTTATTTGTATGTATGGATTGCATGGGTTGTTACCGACGTGTAAAAATTTCATCTCAATAGCACCTTTAGAAATATATTTACAGAGAAAAATGCTGACGTGTTCAATACTTATTTTATCTGGTGTACAGTATATCTAAAAACCTGACCAGAGTTCAAATTTTTTCCCACTTCTACATACTGTAATTTAAAGTGGTTCTAAAGGCTGAATGTTTTTTTACCTTTATGCATTCTATGCTCCCCCCCCCCCAATACTTACCCAAGCTTGATCGAGATCCAGCATTGTGCAAGAGAGCAGCAGCTCTCCTAGATCTCTTCATCCTCATTGGCTGAGACACAGAATAGCAACCACTGGCTCCTGCTGCTGTCAATCACAGCTAGTGAGGAAGAGGTGGAGGGCAGGGCTGAGTCACACTCTGTGCAGCTTGGGAGTGAGCACGCATTAAGGCCCCAAAGAGCAAGCAGTTAGCTATGAGGGGCACTCAGCAGGGGGAGGAGCCAGGAGACATGGCAGGGAGACCCGAAAAGAGGATTTGGGCAGCTCTGTCCAAAACCGTTGCACAGATCAGGTACATTTGATAAGTTTGTTCTTTTTTTTTCTTTTAAAGCTGAACCTTTAGTATCAAGTCAAAAATAATATGATAGATAAAAGATAATTTAGTATCAAGTCAAAAAAATGTGAAAACAGAGGGAAAAAAGCAAAAGAAAAGAAAACTGATACAGCCACCATATCCAATGATTTACATTTTTGGTTTTGGTTTTAATACAATGTTACAATTGACAACACTGTGCAAAGCAGTAGAGCCTAATTTGTTCCCAATGCCCCTCTACCATTCTGAACTCTGTAGAGCATGGTGATTTTAGAAACCTTATAAAAAGAAAGCATTAACATATGTATTCAAGCTGTGTTTGCAAACACAAAATAAATATAATATAGAAGTATATTCATAATAAAGAATTATAATATGTGCCTGATTTTCAAATTTACTTAACCACTTGCCCTCCAGAGGACTTACCCCCTCTCCTGACCAGGCCATTTTTTTGCGCTGCGTTAGAACTGACAATAGTGCGGTCATGTTACACTGCACCCAAATGAAATTTACGTCCTTTTTTCCACAAATAAAGCTTTCTTTCTGTGGTATTTGATCGCCTGTGCGATTTTGAGAAAAAAAAATATTTTTAACTTTTTGCTATTAAACATGTCAAGTAAAAAAATGTTAAATATTAAATTTTGTCATAAATTTAGGCCAAAATGTATTCTGCTACATGTCTTTGCTAAAAAAGAATCCCAATACGTGTAAATTAATTGGTTTATGTGAAAGTTATAGCGTTTACAAATGGCGGTATACATACTGGGATTTTTTTAAAAATTTTTTACTAGTAATTGCGGTGATCAGCGACTTATAGCGGGACTGCAGCGGGAATTCTGACACTGGGGAGAACTGACTTGGTGTCACTGACATCCCTGTAACACCAATACAGTGGTCAGTGCTAATAACAAGTACTGACACTGTACTAATGGCACTGGGCAGGAAGGGGTTAACATGTGGGGCAATCAAAGGGTTAATTGTGTGCTGTTTTACTGTTTTCTGTATGTGTGTGCTTCACTGTAAGCACACTGCTTTGCATGGCTCTCCTATGCAAAGCCGTGCATAGCAGTGTGCAGGAGCTGACAGTGGAGAAAACTGTACTGTACTTACAGTTCTCTCCCTCCGTTGGTAATGCTCCTTGATTATCAAGTGCCGGCGAGTAATCACCGGAGGGACCCAGTGATTGACAGCCAAATCCACGAATCATGCGCCCCCTACCCAGAAATGTAAGATCACACACATATATGACATATATGTGATTTTACAATTGTAGGTCGGACAGAAAGCCGTTAAAGTGTGTGTAGGTATTAGAAAAGTTCTGTCTGAGTTTTGCTGTTAATTCGTTAGCAAATTTTTCATTTGTACCTAGGATGAAAACAAGTCAGAGCATGGCGCTGTCTAAATCAGGGACAAGGGAATCACCACAGGCAAACTTGCAAGCAGTTTAGAGGCACTGAGTATTCAAAGTTGCACTGGATGGCTATGTTTGAAGCCCTATAATTGTAAGGTTTCCTAGATGACTATTCCGGGACATTTACTCAAGTTCATTTTTAGTTCCAAAACAGATATCACTTTTCACTTTAGCCTTTCATATGAAAACGGAAAAAAAAATAATAAAACAAACCTGAACAAGAACAAAATAACGTTTCTTCCATCGTTTCCAAACTTTTTGTCCCACAGCATGTAAATAACTAAAAGAAAAAAAAGGAAGGCATTGCTTTTATTGATTACTAACAAAAATACACTATAAACTACATTGAAAGATCAATATAAAAAAGAAATCATTAAGCTGTGTTTAAATAAACCGAAAAAAAAAAACATGCTGCAACATGCCTTTACACGCACATTCACTTTAATGGCATCCCAGTATTAGTTCATAGGGTTCAATATTGAGTTGGCCCACCCTTTGCAGCTATAACAGCTTCAACTCTCCTGGGAAAGCTGTCCACAAGGTTTAGGAGTGTGTCTATGAGAATGCTTGACCATTCTTCCAGAAGCACATTTGTGAGGTCAGGCACTGATGTCGGACAAGGCCTGGCTCGCAGTCTCCGCTCTAATTCATCCCAAAGGTGTTCTATTGGGTTGAGGTCAAGACTCTGTGCAGGCCAGTCAAGTACCTCCACCCCTAACTCACTCATCCATGTCTTTATGGACCTTGCTTTGTGCACTGGTGCGCAATCATGTTGGAACAGGAAGGGGCATCCCCAAAAAAATTGTCCAAAATGTTTTGGTATGCTTATGCCTTAAGAGTTACCTTCACTGGAACTTAGGGGCCAAGCCCAACCCCTGAAAAACAATCCTACACCACAATCCCCCCTCCACTAAGCTTCACACTTGGCACAATGTAGTCAGGCAAGTACCATTATTCTGGCAACCGCCAGGGACGTCCATTTGATTGCCAGACAGAGAAGCGTGATTCGTCACTCCAGAGAACAAACTTCCACTGCTCTAGAGTCCAGTGGCGGCATGCTTTACACCATTGTATCTAACGGTTTGCATTGCACTTGGTGATGTAAGACATGGCTGTAGCTGCTTGGCCATCGAAGCCCATTTCATGAAGCTCTCTACGTACTCTTGTTCTGCTATTCTGACGGCCACACAAAGTTTGGAGGTCTTTAGCTATTAACTCTGCAGACAGTTGGTGACTTCTGTGCACTGTGCGCTTCAGCATGTGCTGACCCTGCACTGTCATTGTCATTTTACGTGGTCTACCATTTTGTGGCTGAGTTGCTGTTGTTCCCAGTTGCTTCCACTTTGTTATAATACCACAAACAGTTGACAACGGAATATTTAGTAGCAAGGTAATTTCACAAATGGACTTTTTGCACAGGTGGCAACCTATCACGGTACCATGCTTGAATTCACTGAGGGGTCCCAATACTTTTGGCAATATAATGTATATGTGATGTCTTGTATCACTTATTTTATTGAGCTTTATTTTTTTCTGGTGATCTTGCCAGTAACACTTATACTTATACAACACTTATATACTGTGCTCTATTCATGGAGGAGCAGTGTGATCTCTCTAGACTTCTGTCCTGATTTGGATTACAAACACTTCCTTTTCTCCTCATCTCCATTACATAGGAAGGAGGTCTTTTGTAGTTCCTAGATGATAGAGAGGAAGGGTTAGAACGCCTATCATGTTTTCATAGCTGTACAGTCCATTGGAGAGATTTCTTCTCACTTCCTGTCCTCTCTGTATGTCTGGGAATGCAGCTATAAAAGCTTATCAATTTTTTACTCTGTTCAAATCTAACAAAGTAAAAAAAAAGCTGTGGGTACAGTTGGACACTAACCCCTTGATGCTGATCGCACGCAAATATGAGGCCTCTCAGCGTCTGGGCCTTGACGCCGAGCGGCAGCATATTTGCGTGCAATTAAAAAATACATATGTGCTGAGAGCGCGCGCCCTGCGTGCTCCCAGCACATATGTCCGCTACTCCAGGAAAGGTCTCGATCTCCCCTTTCAATTGGGACCTTTTCCGATCATGTGACCGCCGTGACGGCAAATCGAGGCGGTCACATGACCCTAAAGCCCTGCCCCACCTCCCGGCTTCTGAAACTCTTAAAGTGCTGGGAGGCGCTGGCGCCAAATTAATCATAATTTAAAAAGTGAAGTAAAGGCTGGAGGTTTTGTACCCTAATGCATTTTCTGCATTAAAGGTAAACAAAAAAAAGTCAATGCTCAGTGCCACCCCCCCCATCATAGTTACCTGAGCCCAATCTTGGATCCAGTGATATGCTCAGAGACAGCCAATGGCTCCTGCTGCTATCAATCAAGAGGTAGCAGGGGTGATCTGCACTCTGTGTGCCAATGGACACAGCACATAAATATCATTCTGCTCAGCAATGTCGTTTGTGTGGGCATTAAAGCCCATTGTTTTGCCACAGAACATATGTGTTGGTCAGTTGTAAAGGAGTTAAACAGCATCATCTGGCCCAACAATTTATGAAAACAAAAAATGGCAGACATATGGCACAACTGTGATTAGGGTGTTGTCCAACAGTCAGTGAGATAGTTATTTTAACAAAAAACCACCTCCTAAATAAATGTGATAAACAATAACCCTTAACACAAACAACACCTTCCCCTGAAGGTGTAACAGATTTTATATGTAAAAGTGTTATAAACAAACTTTAAATAAAAACTGTGAAGTCCATCAATCAGTCCATCAAACAGTTATTAACTCTCACTATCCTATAATATCAAAGTTCAAGATGTTCAGAAATTCTTCTAACGAGCTCCCATGTGCATGTACCTCAAAAAAAAGGAAATAATATATAGTGCATTATCCTTTATATAATATAAACTTAATTCATCTCCCACAATCCAGTGACAAATAGTGATAATGGTAAAAAAAAACGGTGAAAATAGTGAAATAATCAGTGAAAACACTGTGTGTGTGAGAATCACCCTTCAATACCACACACAGAAAGATATAATTGCAAAACTGGTGTGCACTTCTATTCATAGTAAGGGTACCCTTACCAACATTTCAGAAAACACATGCTTATATCAATCCAACAGCTTTCTCAGGATGAATGATCTCCACAATCCTCCCTGGATTGCTGATCCCACTGTTTCCAGGCACTTTACTCTATCCAGGGACAAAACATAAGGAACACAATAGTGTAATACCGCCAATAGTAAAATCAAATGACCTTTATTTGAACTGCTTACATCAAAACAAGCCTTTATGCACGTAATCACTCATAATAGAAACCTCACAGCCATCCAGGAAGAACGTCCAGGTGCTCCAGATCATTCGCTTCCCTTTTCCAAAATGGCCGCCGGTCAACTTCCGGTTCCTGTGTGCGTCTTGTCGTCACTTCCCTTGACGCGTTTCGTCATTGGCTTAATCATAAGGAACACATGTTCCTTATGTTTTGTCTCTGGATGGAGTAAAGTGCCTGGAAACAGTGGGATCAGCAATCCAGGGAGGATTGTGGAGATCATTCATCCTGAGAAAGCTGTTGGATTGATATAAGCATGTGTTTTCTGAAATGTTGGTAAGGGTACCCTTACTATGAATAGAAGTGCACACCAGTTTGCAATTATATCTTTCTGTGTGTGGGATTGAAGGGTGATTCACACACATAGTGTTTTCACTGATTATTTCACTATTTTCACCGTTTTTTTTCACCATTATCACTATTTGTCACTGAATTGTGGGAGATGAATTAAGTTTATATTATATAAAGGATAATGCACTATATATTATTTCCTTTTTTTTGAGGTACATGCACATGGGAGATCGTTAGAAGAATTTCTGAACATCTTGAACTTTGATATTATAGGATAGTGAGAGTTAATAACTGTTTGATGGACTGATTGATGGACTTCACAGTTTTTATTTAAAGTTTGTTTATAACACTTTTACATATATAAGTCAGTGAGATAGGTAGGTGTACCGCTCAAATAGGGACACGTACAACTCAAACACCCCCACAAAACTGATCTTTTTGGAAGACAGAACAATGTTTAGTTTACCAAACAACATTTGGAAAATATGAAAAACATGTTGATATGGATTCTCTGGATTGATAAGACCAAAACTGTGCAGGTGAAAGCCAACAAAGATGCCCTGTACCAACTCACAAAACAACATGTCCTTTGGTAAAACACAGTGGAGATTACATTGTTACTGGGATTTTTTTTCATCATCAGGGACAGAGAAACTAGAATGAGCAAAATTCAGGTCAACTATAGAGAAAAAAAAAATCTTTTTTTTTGTTTTACTATATAAGCAGGATAGTAGGACAATGACCTACTACCATGCAGTCAAAGCTACTGTGGCGACTGGTAATCTGACTGAAATGTGTTAGCATAGCCCAGTCAAATCAGAGACCACAATTGAAGAGAAAATCTCAGAAAGTACTTTCAGTTCTGAAATTTGCTGTTCATCAACAGTCTCAATCCAGCCCGACAAAGCTAAAGTAATTTTACCAAGACAAATAAGGAAAAATAGCATGATCCAGATGCGTAAAAAAACCCCAAAACTATAACAATAGCCAAGGGTGATACCACCAAGTACTTGCACGCAACCGTCTGCATTTTTATTTTTGTATCACAATAACAATGTTTTGTAACTTCAAAGTGATGTATATATCAAATAGTAACATCTCCATTAAATCAATTTTATGTCAAGGTTGTAACACTTCATAATATGGAATTTATAATTTATTACACTGAGAAAAAAAAAAAAGCGCACAAATCTTATTCAAGAGACATGGATTAGCTCTTGGTGCAAAGAGTAAAAATGTGTTTGTGCATTTGGATCTAGTTTTGGGCTGCCCACACACTAAAGGCGCAGAACTGAAATGGATATATCCACATAACAGGAGCAACATCCCATTCAAGTCTATAGACCCATAGGGCTAGGGTTCAGTTAAAATATTATAGTGGAGTGCGCATGCGCGGGCGGTCGGAGCGGATACAACTTTGATCGTGTCACACCTTCCTGGCGCCTTGAGGGGCATAATTAGCAGCTCCCAACTCTGTTCCTCTCCACCACTTACCAGGCCTACTTGTGGAGGGGGACCTCCGATGTCCACCCAATCGGCTGGGCAATCTGCGGGCTGCTCCTGCACTGCCTCCATGAAGAAGGGAGGGGGCGGCAAGATGGCGGCCGGCCCTGGCTCCCAGAGCTCTTCAGCTGCGAAGAGAAGCAGTCTACATCACAGCGGGCCC